TTCTGTTCAATCATATAATTGTATATGAAAGCAAATTATATCGTAAAATATCTTTTTTCTTACTTCCACTAAATAAAGAAAACTCGAATGTGTTTTTTTCACTAGTGATATTGGAAATGGACAATTTGGCCGTGCACGTGGTCTTGTTATTATGATGTAATCCTTGTTGATATCGTCACCCATGTCTCCATGGCAACCAGTTTTTGACAAATAGGTTTTCAAAAATGTTAAATATTTTTAATAATTTTAAAGGGCTACTTGGATGAAAAATGTCGAAACACTGGAAAAGGCACGAAATTCTTGTAGACTTATCAATAAATATCCTATAATCACGAAGCAATGTATTTTGACAAGATATTGATACAATTTCTTAGGAATTTTGTCAAAAGATTTTGGAGTATATGACGTCATATACTCCATCCTTTTGTTCTATCTTCGTTTGAGTCAAAAACATTTCTGCTTTGGAATGACTCCATAACAAAACCTTTCTCTGAGAAAATATTATAGGTATAACATGATTGAATTACACAGGCCTCTGAAATTAGTGCTTCTTCGTGCAAGTAGCACTTTAAAGCTTATTTGTTGTTTTAGTATGCATCCAGTTTTTCCTATTTGAGCGGGGTCATTCGGCCCCCCTCAATATCTTAGGAACCAAAGGTCTATGAGCATGGAATTTTCACACAATGGTTGCTCAAGAACCACCACACCCAGTCTTGACCCGTGATAGCCAAATGTGACGTCATAATGACGTCATTTATACCATTTTAACGATAGTAATAATATATTAATAATATGAAAACTTGTATACGCATATACAAGTCTGTTCTATGCGCTCTGGTATAACAAAAAAAAAATTAAACTCTAAAAGTTACAAACAAGTTAATAGTTGATAGTAAATAGTTAATTAATTTAACGATTTATAATTCATTTAAGAGTGAATGTCCATAAGCATCAGACAAAAACAAGATTTCGTGGCAACACTCAAAAATTCGTTTTTCCTCATACTTTCATATTTTGTTGTGTATTATATAGTTATCATCATGGTGTAGTTMATTTGTCCAAATATGCTTTTATTTTTAAGAAATATTTTTTTTGCCGAAGTCGATCAAAATGCTATTCAGCTAGTAAAAATCTTCGTCAAATTGTGTGACCTCGTTTGGCAAAAATATTTAACCTTTTGCCTTGGTAATCGGATATGTTTTGGCTGATTATGTCTTCTTTGCTGACTGACAATATGAACTATTTTAGTGAATTATTTGATTTTTTAGAAATATTTAGATCCACCACTCTTTTTGTGACTATAAAAATAGCCCAAATATAAACGTGCTTTTAACTATGTGCGATACAACCAAATTCAAAATGCTTCGGAATTTAAAAAGTCGAAATAATGATTGATTCTTTGATATAAATCTTTTTTTGCGGTAATTGTTTTATATTTACGAAAAGTGAGGTCAAAGTTCGGTAAAAATCGAATGTTTTGAATTGTGAAATCAACCATGACGGCTCATAGTATCATTGTTTACTTCAAAAAACAAAGTTAAATTTATTACAGTTTTGACCTTACCTTGATAGATCCTGGAGTTCTTGTCTTGACAAAGAAGATTTATGGCTGTTTATCTTTTTTTTTCTGATTTGAGGTATATCGTTTCTATTATAAGTCTGCCGGTCCGTGAC